GAAGCGCCCACGATAACAATATTGTGCATATTCATTACCGTGATATATCGCATCACCGAATACCGGCTAGGCTTGCCGCGATATACGGTGTTGACGGTGATACCGGTGTTAAGCCGCAACACCGGTTACGTCACTTGCCCACCGGGTCACCGACCCCCACCGTCGTTTAGATTTTTTTATAGTAATAAAAATCATTTAGTTCAGTAAAAGAACAGACACTACAATTAAAAACTGAACGCGGCTGCTCAACGTAGCGTGCTGAACGACAGTCGCATCACTGATCAGATTTAATTTATCCAGTGAGGAGAGTGAGTAGAGCTGACTGACAAGAAGAGTGATGTGAGGTGAGACAGACAAGACGATGGCAGATGATTTAGTTTCGAAACGAGATGCAAAAGTGCCTGTTTGGCAATATTTTGGATTTTGAAAAGCCTGTTGACTTTTGCCGTTTATCTAAGGTGATTTTGGAAGTAAAAAAAAAAAATAAAATCTTATTTAATTGGTTCCACAATTAAATGTTTTAATGTTTTAAAAATGTTTGCTGATTTTTACTTTATTTAAACTTTGTGTGATTTATTTATTTCATTTGACATCAAGGTTACACGGAACACATGGGGAGGGAAAACACAACAAAACCAGTCCAGGGGCGTGACATTACTCCCCCCTCCTGGAAGGCGAGTCCCGCGCCGTAACAGTTCCACCGGGGAGGGGGGAGTGGGTTGACAGAGTCCAGGGCGGTGATGAAGGAGGAAGGAGCCAGGGAGGAAACAGGAGGGGCCCGGAGCAGGAGGAGCCCAGCTGGACCCCGGCCAAAGCTATAATGTCGACCCACGGTGTAGCCGATGGAGGGAGGAGCCATGGAGGAGGAATGGCCGCTGACTCCAGGGGGCCGACCAATGGCGGCGGAGCAGGTATTGGAGGAGACAAGGCGGAGAGCCAACGAGCCAGGGGGATGACGAGGATCCGGGGGGCCAGGGTGGAGCCGAGGGCTCTGGCGACCGAGGCGGAGGCGGAAATCCAGAGATCCGCGGCAAAGCAGGAGCGACTGAGGACCAAGGTGGAGCTGGCGGGAGGAAGGAGCCCAACGGAGCCGGTGGGACAGAGCGACAAGGCGCAGCCAGAGGAGAGGAGTCCAGAGGCGAAGGCGGGTCGACGCCCGACCAAGGCGGAGCCGGAGGGACAACGGAGCCCGGTGGAGCTGATGGATTGATGGGTGACGGTGGAGGCGAGGGAGCTAGTAGCCGAGGTGGAGCCAGTTCCCCCTGCTCCAGCAGGAGGATCTCGAAGGCGGGGTAATCCATAAAAAAAAAACAATAAAAACTGACAAAAACTTGGGAAAAAAAACGAGGGGAAAGACGCCGCTATACTTTACTTAAAGGGTCGGTTATTCTGTCACAGTCAAGGTGTGTGGAGGCAAGCGAGGAAAAGAGGGAACGCCCCCGCCCCCACGGTGATACCGGTGTTGTCACACTTCGATTAACAAAGATTGTTGTTAATTTTTCCTCACCGTCACAACCCTAACACAAAATTATGTCAAAATGTCCGTCTTGGTGAGTATCCAGTTAAACGCAGTCAGTTTTGGAACGTTAAATATTTGAGAAAGAGAACGCATGTTGTGTAACAGTATATTGAGTCCGTGAATAAACTCTGAAAGGGACCACAGTCCAATATTCCTGCTACGCAGTCAGTTTTGGAACGTTAAATATTTGAGAAAGAGAACGCATGTTGTGTAACAGTATATTGGGTCCGTGGATAAACTCTTAAAGGGACCGCAGTCCAATACACTGGATGTGTTATTTTACATTTGATTAGTTTAATTTCTGTAGTATTTCTTACCTGAATAAAAACTTACTTAACCTGAAAAACTTAGTTTCATAGCTCTCTTTATTCTATTGCCTTTATTTGTGCTGTTGTTTGCAATTTTATATTTGTTCTTATTTTATCACTGACTTTTTACTTGTGTTTTTTTGTGAAGTACGATTTAGTTTTAATCCAAATGATGCGTGCTAAGTGAGCGAACATCAATAAAGATCATACAACAGAAGTGCTCTCTCTCTCTCCCTCCCTCCTTACCATTAAGTAACTTGTGCATTGTTTTACTTACTTCTCTTTGACATATCCGACCGAACTACAAACTTTCCAGTGATGTCTGTGAGAAAGGGATATTCACTCGACAAGCTCGCGCATCTGCGCCGCCGCGCGCTCAATCCACTCA